ACATTTGTAAATTGTCAAAGATATTTTGGTAACTTGTTTTATGTAAGTAAGATGAAACATTAACCTATATGTATACAGTAATTGCAATTTTTCAAGATGGTTTTGATATAAAAATCATATTAATACAGTTATTGTATAAAGTAAAAATATAAAAAGGAAGTAATACTTTAATTACATTTTTAAAAATTGTTAAAGATATTTTACCAACTAGTTTTATGTAAATAATATGAAACATTAACCTATGCGTATACAGTAATTGCAATTTTTCAAGATGGTTTCAATATAAAAAAAAAAGTAATACTTTAATTAAATATTTTAGTTGTCAAAAATATTTTAGCAACTAGTTTTACATAAATAAAATGAAACATAATCTATGCGTATACAGTTATTGCAATTTTTCACAATGGTTTTGATATAAGAATAATATTAATACAGTTATTGTATAAAGTAAAAATATAAAAAGGAAGTAATACTTTAATTACATTTTTTAAAATTGTTAAAGATATTTTACCAACTTGTTTTACATAAATAAAATGAAACATAACCTATATTCGTATAGAGTAATTGCAATATTTCAAGATGGTTTTAATATAAAAATAACTCACCATGCATTACAATGCATCAAAAAAAGGTGGGATACTTTCAATCCCACACACATTACCCACAAAAAGTTAAAGAAAGTTTCAAACAATTTCAATATTTTCTTCAAATCATTAGTGTTTGTGTTTCACACAACACAATTTACATTCCAAAGAGTAGTTTAGTTTTAACTTGACAATAAGAAGTATCATCAAAAAACAATTTCTGTTTCAAAAAGCAAGTTGAAAATAAAGAATTTCGTTATTCTAACGGAAAAAGGTAAACGGAAATTATTGGTTTGTAAGAGTTGCAAAGGCAGATGCAAGAATTATTGTTTTGTTGTTTGTTTGTTTGTTTGTTACGGTAATAATTCTCGAATATATTTCATGGTGTTTTCAAAGTTTCTCTTATGATATCTCCTTTTAGAGATCACTCGTAACATTATTACATTCACATGTATACGTTAAAAGTAGTAACGCAAGAGGATACTACTTTTTAATCATGAAAACATCTGCCAATGCAAAGAGAAACGCAGCTGCTGTTGCTGCTGCTGCTGCTGTTACTGCTGTTCGTCCCCCACCATAGTTCAAATTCTTTTTCCTTATTTTAGTTTCACCATAACTTTTAGAAGAAGAAGAAGCAAAAGAAGAAGAAGATGAACGGTATTGTGGGGTTTCGTAAAAGGAAAAACGATACCTTTCGAAATACAATAAAACCTTTTATGATTTAACAATTCCAAAATGTGTATAAGAAAAAAAGTGTATGAAATGTGTCCTTGTATTTCGAAAGCATCGTTTCAGTTTTTTGTTATTTAATAAAATAAAATACAACATACCGTTTCTGGTTTCACCAGTTGCTACTTCTGCGAGATACCTGTAATAATCGCCCTTCATCTTGAGGTAGAATACTTTGCTTTCGGCATTACTAGCCTTAGGGATCAGGTACTTGTCTAGGAGACCCTAAAACATAAATATTAAAAGAATATTAAATTTAATGAAACAAATAATACAATTCAAAATTGATTTAACATTTTTGTAGGAACAATTTAATGAGTAAAGTCAAGTTTCATGATGTAAACCAATGAAATGTTTCAAATATCAGCTAAACTTCAACAACACAGTTCAAATGATCAACCATAAAATTATTCATAAATTAAATTTATTAGTTTTATTAATATTAATTAACAATATGATTTTTTTATGGGTAAGACGACAAGCTTCTTTATGGTGTTTTATAATTAAAATTAACGTTTGTATAGAATCTGGTTATGTGTTTCTAACTGGAAATAAATAAAAATCATATGATAAGTAATCAAATGAGAGGTTATGATAAACATGACATCTATTATCAAAATAAATAAATAATTAAGATAAACCAAAAATTTGTATATTTATTATAGTGTTTTTATAGGTAGTACAAAATTTGTTGAAGTCAATAAAATTAATTACTTCATTATATGCAAGTGTAAAATGAAATGAAATTTAATTTAAAAATACAGGAACTTTTGATTCACCCTAATAATAATAATAAAAAAAAAAAAGATAGATAAAAAGATAGATTAGATGATTGAGATAATAACATCAATGATATGCTATGAATAATATCATGTTGCAGTTATTTTTTGAGGTTATAAAATTAATTAACTTTATATGCAAGGGTGAAGTATAAATTTACAAATACAGGAACTTTTAATTCACCCTAATAATAAAGAAAAAAAATAGATAAATAGTTAAATAGATGATTGAATAGTAGCTGTCTGTATATAAAGTTAAGCATCTCATCAATGATATGTAATGGATATTACATTACAGTTATTTTTTGAGGTTAACAAAATTAATTACTTTGTTATATGCAAGTGTAAAATGAAATGAAATTTAATTTAAAAATGCAGGAACTTTTGGCTCACCCTAATAATAAAGAAGAAAGATTGATAGGCAGATAAATAGTTAAATAGATGATTGAATAGTAGCTGTATATAAATTTAAACATCTCATCAATGATATGTAATGAATATCAAATTGCAGTTATTTTTTGAGGTTAATAAAATGAATTAACTTTATATGCAAGTGTTAACTGTTAATTTAAAAATACATGAAATTTTGATTCACCCTAATGCTGATTAGATGATTAGATAGTAGCTGTATATACAGTTAAGACATCTCATCAATGATACACTATGACTATCAAATTGCAGTTATTTTTTGAGGTTAGAAAATGAATTAACTTTAACCCATTGCCGCACACTTTTATTTGACGATCGTGCTTAGAAATACGAAGATCGGACGGTTATAGCCGTCATTTGCGGCAATGGGTTAATATGCAAGATTGAAATGTTAATTTAAAGGACATATGTGAAATTTTGGTTGACATTAATAATAAAAAAGAAAGATAGAAGATATATAGATAGATGGGTTGAATAATAACTGTATATATAAGTTAGACATCTTATCGATAGATATTACATTGCAGTTATCGAACCTTGTTCCAGTTTCACCCTTTGACGTATGTACTATCTACGTAGTCAGAGTACGTCAAACCCAAATCTGACCTACTTTGTCACGGAACGTTTAATTAGCATCTGGTTTTGCCACATCTCAAATATACGTCTATATACGTCTGTATAGTATTGTATTGTATTATGTATGTGTATGTATATATGTGTGTGATTGTGAATGTGAGGAAAAGTAACAGCTGACTCTTTGTTAGGGCACGTGCAAAGTGCACCCTCTCTTTCTCTCTCTTTCTTTCTTTCTTTTTTTGTTATATACAGTAAATGTGTAGTACACCTATACACACACAAAGTAGGGAATCATCCATCATACGTCACATCATCATCTTTACAAAGAAAAAAATAGTAGTAGTAGTAGTAGTAGTAGTAGTAGTAGACTTTCTTGTCGACTAGACGCCATTTGCAAATGTGAAGATTTCAACCCAAAGTGACTCCGGAGGTGTTGAGTTGAAGTCAAGTCAAGGTTAAGAGGAATTACCTTGAAGATTTTTTTTTTTTAACACAACGATTGGAGAAGAGAAGAACGAAACGTGTGTATTTGTATATATGTGTATGTGTGTGTGTGTGTGTGAAATTATTTGTTCACACGTTTATTAGAAAAGTAAAAATACATCTCACATGTTTTTCTTCTTCTTCTTCTCTTTCAACCTTTTCATCAATGTGAAACTCGTTTAATTAATTTTTTTCTGCTTTTTATTTTGTTCATTGATTTTTTAGGTTATGTTTTATCTATTCATTTTGATTAAATGTAAGCAAAAAATAAATAAAACAAATTAACTGAAAAAAAAACATTGATAAAGCATATTTTTAAATGCACTCTTAGCAAAGATGAATTGATTTATAGTTGGGCACATATATGCGCCCGTAGCATTCAAAATGTTAAAAATACGCTGTTAAATGTTACAGAGATGAAATCGACTATCGATATTATCTTTCTCTCTCTCTCTCTCTCTCTCTCTCTTTTTCTTTCTTTTGTAGGTTAATTTCAATCCCTTTGAAGGGAGAAAGGTTTTCTATTATAAAACAATGTCTTCCACTTCCGGTAAGGAGGATACGATCGTATCAAAGAAGGGTGTGTATATGTGTGTGTGTGTATGAACGTCATTTCCTTTTCCGAATCTAATCTATTTTCAATTTCAAAGAGAAAAAGAAAAAGAAAATGAGAATGATGTTGTAATAAAGGTTTTTCTTTTTTTTTCAAACTTGAATAAAAGATGAACAAAAGAATGATTGTATAAAATGAAAGTACTGACTCTCTAGTAGTAGCAGAAATTATTGACTCTAGTAGTAACAGAAATTATTGACTACAATAAATGAAGTATTTTAACGCATTATTAAATTAAATAAAATCAATAGATAATTCTTTTGTTTATGTTTAATGTAATATAATGAATGTAACGTATGTGTGTGTAAAATAAATGTGTAAATTATTGACTAAATGACTCAAGTAGTAGTAGAAATGACTCAAAAAGTAGTAGACGAAATTGACAAGAAAATGAAGTATTAACAATTGCATTGTTTAAATTAAATAAAATCAATAGATGTGATATGTGTGTGTTTGTAAGATAAAATAATATGAAAAGAAAATTGTTTAATTACGATTCAATTTATTTGTTTAAAAAAAAAAAAAAAATAATTAGTTTATTTATATTTTGAACTTTTTTCATCATCACAATGAAAATGTAATAATTGGTTGTTAGTTTGATTGTTTTGATATATATATATATTTTTGAATTGTTTTACAGATTTGTAATTTCAATGATATTGGTTCTAACGGGTTGGCAATAAAGTGATTACAGATTTTGTCGATAGATGGCTTTTTAAAATGAGCAATTAAATCATTGTGTGTCGCAACTAATTGTAAAGTGTTGCCAACCCAATATTATACAGTTTTTTGTGTGTTGTATTTTTCATAGAATTGATGTCAAAAAGAGAAAGAGACAGAGAGAGAAAGAGAAAGAGAGAGAGAGAGAGGAATATACAGGCTTTGTTTCTTTCTTTATGATTGAGTACAACGGAAATTGGAATTCTGTCGATACTGAAAATCCGATATCTTTATAAGGAGGAAATCTAGTTTTTTTTTCTTTTTATCTTTTATCTTTTTTCTTTTTCTCATTAAAGAGAAAATCTCGTTCTTCCTTCTAGGAAAACTTTTTTTTTTTTTTTATCAAGTCAACGACAGGTTACTTAATGGCTACTAATATAACCATTTCCTCTAACGTCTCCGATTTGAGAATTTAGTAAAGAAGAAGAAGAAGAAGAAGAAAAAAAAAGTAAATCATTGTGTACCTTTGATTTATAGGTTATTTAACAAATTATTTATTATTATTATTATTATTATTATTATAGGTTATATAACCAATTACTTATCATTATTATAGGTTATTTAAACAAATTCATTTGAATTATTTTTATAGGTTATTTAATAAATTCATTTGAATCTGTAAAATAAACTTTTTTTTTTTTATAAATTGCGAATTTACTGGATAAAGAAACGAAAAATATTATATTGTTGTTAAAAATTTAGTATAGAAGAAAAGTAAATCATCGTGGTCCTTCGATTATAGGTTATTTTACAAATTTTACAAATTTTTACAAAAAAAAAAAAAAAACTACGTATATGGAAAATAATATTATCAAAATTGTATTTAATGGTCAATTTTAATTGCAAACAAAACAAATACCAATAATAAAACAATTTCTTGCCAACTTTGATGTGGTTTGTTTGGTTAGTGCAAATTAAAAAAGAAAAAGAACCAGAATTCAAAAAATGAATAAAAATAAATAGAAATAAATAATAAAATAAAATACGACACGTGTGCGTATATATATATTTGTTTGAAATGTGTGTTTGTGTGTGTGTGTGTGTGTGTGTTCTGGAACTTTGAAACCCGTTTGTAAAGTATCACTAGCTGTTAGGGTCTTTAACGTGCTTGTTTTTACTTGGATCCACTTACCACAATGTGATCCTCCTCTTCTTCTTCATTTCTATCTCTTGTTTTTCTTTTTTTAAGATTATATTAGAGAGAAAGAGAAAGAACATACAAGAAGAGAGAAGAAGATCATTCTCAGATCATCAGATTGAATTTCAAGAAGCTCGATTACGCGACTAACTTATACTACTACTACTACTATTACTTAAACACACTACTACTCATCTTCCCTAACCTCACTTTTTTGTTCGTTCAAAATTCAAAGATTCTTATACCCTCTCTCGTAAACCCCTAAATTTGAAGCTGATTTTTTTTATATTAACTATGAGATTCAATCATTTTTTTTCTTTTTTTTTAAATAAATGAACTAAAAATGAGATAATTTACATGCAGTTTTGCAAATGAGGTTATGTCACAATTATTTTTGAGATTGAACTGTTTTCTTTTTTTAAATAAACGAAAAATACAAAACGTACGATAGTTCGAATGCATTTTGTAAATTAGGTTATGTCAAATAAGGTTATACATTGTTTTTGAGATTTAACCATTTTTGTTTTTTTTTTAAATAAACGAAAAATAGAGGAAAAATACGATAATTTCAATGCATTTTGCAAATCAGGTTATGTTACAATTGTTTTTGAGCTTTAACCATTTTCTTATTAGATAAACAAAAAATATAACAAAATTCTGTAGTTTAAATGCTTTTTGCAAATAAGGTTATGTCAATAGGTATTAGGTTCAATTTTTGTAAATTATTATTAATATTATTATTATTATTATTATTGTGGGTGTAATTATTTGATCATTGAAAAAAGAAATTGAAGATAATTTGGAAATCCGTTGAAAAATTTGAACCCCTTCTCCACTCTCCTATCCCCACTCCTCTTATTCTTTCACCCAATCAACGTAATAGAAATTTCGACGTTGCACTCTTATTGGCTAACCTAATTTTTTCTCGTTATATTCATTTTATCTAATGTTTAAATATTTTATGACACACTTTTTAGTTTACCTCTTAACACATATTTTATACATCGTTAACCTCAAAGAAGGACGCGTAGATATTTCTGTTGGAAGAATCAATAACGCACGCTTGTTACAAAAGATACATACACACACACATATATACACGAACGTTTTAACAAGATAATAATAATAATAATAATAAGAAGAAGAAAAAAAAAACTTGAATTTAAATTCACGTAAATGCAAAAGTTTTCTTTTTTTGTAACATCGTCAAAGAACGCGTGTTTGACCTGTGACACAAACAAACACTAACACACACACACACACATAACACTTTTTTTCTCAACATATTTCAAAAATATTACTCGGATGACTGTCATAAAATTAATAATAATAATCCAATTATGTGAAAAACAATTTTAAATGTTAAACTTTATTCACGATCCTAACGCGATTTATAATAATTATGAATATATTTTACAATTATACTAGCTAAATTGTTTAAAAATAAAAAAAAAAGGAGAAAAAAGTATAAATTTTATCAAAAAAAAAAAACAATCACGTGATTAATTATATAAAAATGTCACTAAAAAAAACCAAAAAGAAACTATTAACCACTTTAGAAGCCAATTTTTTGTTCGCGTTGACAGGAAAAATAAAATAATATATAATTTGAAATAAAAACAATTATATTAATTGTTTAAATAAACATTTAAACAAATGAAAATAATTAATTCATTCTCAAGTATAACCAAAAAGTTAATTTCATGAAATATTTTCAGGTTAAATTTGATAATCGATACAAAGAATATTCTATTACTTGTAAAATAAAGATTGTAAAATATTATTATAGGTTATGTAACACGCACACATATTATTATTATTATTAATGCTATAAATACGTTATAGGAAAAAAATTAGATTGAAAATATAATACAAATTTATAGGTTAGGTTTAATAAAATGTAGCTTTTATAAAACAAGCATACTATAAAAGGTTGAATATATTTCAAAAAAGAAAGAAAAAAAAATGGCGATCCAAAAAAAAGAATAAGATGAGAACCGTGAGCGTAACAACAAATTTGTAATGGTGGGGGTAGTCACCGTTATTGGACGAAAAGAAAGGGGAGGGGCGAAGGATTCCGAATTAGAAAACTTCCACGAAAGAAGAAGATAAAAAAAGAAAATGGGGGAGGGATTAGGAAGAAAGAACAAAATGGAGGATGATTTTTTTTTTAAATGGCAGAAATAGTGGAGGGGATGATAGTAGGGGAAAAAGAGAAGACTATGGTTGCTTTTCTTACCAATAAAACTTCTCAAAAAGAAGAAACAAAATGAAAGGTGGGGATAAGGAAGAAAAAAACAAAATAAAGGATGATTTTTTTAAAAGGGGGGACGACCATTGGGGGGGATTATGGGGGAAGAAAAAAGAAGATAATGGTTGGTTTTCTTACCAATACGTCGTAGCAGATCTCACGTAGTTCTTTTTCGACCTTTTCCCGGTACTCCTTGGCCATCTGTTGTTTGCGTTCGGAGCCCTCGGTCTTTTGCTCAATAGAAGAAATGACTCGCCACGAGCTACGTCTCGCACCAACAACATTCTTATATGCCACTGAGAGTAGGTTCCTTTCCTCGTTCGATAATTCAACTCCAGTCTCGGTGACAGATTTCATTGCTGCTGCCATATCATCGTACCTTTCCGCCTGTTCGGCGAGCTTCGCGCGCTGCACCAATTCCTCTTTGTCTACGGACATTGTGTCGTCTGTAACAAACAAATATCATCGTCATTATTATTACTATTACTTTTTAATAATAATATTATTAATAATAATAATAATTCAATTCGAATCATTCAAATCATTTGTAACGCTTTGACGTAAACGAACGTGTTAATGGTTAATATGTCCGCCATATTTATTTTGTAACACCTAACCTCTGTGCACGTAAATCATAGTTTTCAATACTTTCATTTACTTTTATTTTAAAAAATATGGAATATTTTAAGACTTGCATACATAGAAATATTATTTTTAATAATAATCATTATATTAATTATTATGATAATAATTATAATTGTGTATATGATAGGAGTATTTAAAAAAAATACAGCGCTCATATTTTTTGTTAAATTGCAAAAAAATACAAAAATCTTGTATTAACAGTTTTTATGATTGAATATTTTTTAAAGCACAAACAAAAAAAAATACGTAAAAAGATTTTTCAAAATATACGGCGTCGCACGAGACAACCACCACCACACAACACACACTTTTGTACTTTTCCCATTTTTTCTCAACGTATATCCGTGAACATAAAAGAAAGATGACTCTTATAGGTTATAACCGAGACTTGAAATTTTATTCAGCTGTCTGATGATCCCTTCGTGCAACCCACCCTCTCAAGGGATCTCAGGTATCGATACGTTACGAAATACGATCGACCAACCGACCTTGTTCAGGTATCAAGATAACGTACTTTTTTGAAAATTTGAATTCAAAAGAAATTCCAGTTTTAAGTAGAAAATAATCGGCCATCTTTCTTTTATACAAGAGAGGTGACTCTTTTTTAAGTTCTCAAATTTTATTTAACAAATATTTACACATTAACAAGTAAAAAATTAATTTAAAATATTACAGAAACAAAGTATAATTAATTTATTAAATTATAATGGGCTCAACCCTCCCTCTATTGTAAGATTTCAATAATTTCAATGTAAAATCAAAATGAAATAGAAATATTTCATTCATATTATAAATTTAATACACGAACACGTAAACAAAAATTGTTTAAACAATATCAATCATCGAAATAATTTAATTGATCCGAGATTTTTTATTTCCAAAAAAAAAGTAGAAAAAAAAATAGATCGAATTTATTCTCATATTTTGAGGTTAGGATAACAAATATTTATAAAAATGGTTGATAAAAATTCGATATCATTCAATATCTTTCATAAGTTTCTTTTTATACGACCATTTATTTTTAAGTTTTTTGTTGTTTTTGTTTTCCAAGTAGAATAAAAAGATTAGATCAAACCGTAAATTATAATATCAGAGTATAAGGGGAGAGGTTAGGATTGTAATTTATCGCTACGTAATATCTTCGATTTTCATAAGTTAATTGCTTTATGTAAGAACATGATTTTTCTTTTACATTTTTCTTTAGTAATAATAATAGTTCATATAATAGTTAATTAATATCAATATTAGTTATTAACATTGTTTGTATTGTAAAACAATTGTTAACAATGTTATTGTTATTATTTTATATTATTATTACGTAAAAGATTTTGTGCAATAGTAAACAAAAATCAAAATAAAATAAAATAGAATAAAATAATATAGATTTTTAAATCTGTAATAATTTCAAGGACACGCGTAAAAAAATGATTTTGTATTTTTTTTTTTTTTTAATTTTTTTTCAACGCTTCAAAAGATATTTTTCCTCTCCTATTTTTTTTATTAATTTTTTTTTTTTTTTTTAATTATACACAACCCTATGTATATCCTTGGACCCTTTATTACTACCTTCGTCAACCCTATTTGTGCGTAAGCATACTTGAAAGTTCTCGTATTGAAACACGTCAAGCAAAGAGAAATTCTTGTTACACCTAAACCCCACGTTAAAACCACTTTCAAACACTATAAATCATGCTTTAATCTCTACGATTCGGTATTTCGCACGAATTATATTTACGGCGTATGTAAAGGGTGACCCAATAATAATTCATCAATGGTAATTCACTAAACTTGTAGAAACTTTTTGAATTTTTATCGAAATTTGTTTTTTCTTTAAATCTTTTGAATGAATGCAAAATGAGTCTACGAATAAAGAATTGCAATCGTTGGAAACAAAATGATTCGATACAAATAAACAAAATAAAGCAGAAGAAGAAGAAGAAGAAAAAGAAAAGAATTTTGAATTTAGGTTGTAAGTAGAAATCAAATTGATAAGCACATATATGCGTTCTTAATCTACAATTGATTGCTTTTGTTGGACACACATATGCAACCTTAGTCTACAATTGATTGTTTTCGTTGGACGCATATATGCGCCCATAGCATTCAAAGAGTTAAATCAGTTCTGATTGTTTCCATTTGACACACATATACGTCCTTAGTCAACAATTGATTGTTTTCGCTGGACGCATATATGCGCCTATAGCATTCAAAGAGTTAAATCAGTTCTGATTGTTTCCATTTGACACACATATACGTCCTTAGTCAACAATTGATTGTTTTCGTTGGGCGCATATATGCGCCCATAGCATTCAAAGAGTTAAATCAATTCATTTTCAAATTATAAAGCTAGAAAATTAAAACAAAAAATAAATATAAAAATTTAAACCACATTTTACTATTTGAAAACAATGATACACCCCGTAAATCGTTAATTTTATTCGAAAAACAAAATGTTATCGACTAAATTCAAATATATTTTTATAGCAAATTATGCAAAATTTATCCAACAACAAATATATTTGCAAGAATTGATACAAATGATGACAAATAAAAAAAAATAAAAAATGAAAAAGGAAAAAAAAAATCAGAACAATTTCAACCAGGTATAAATACATCATATTAATTAGTCATAAAAATGAGTCACACGTTATATGACTCTACTGACAAAAACTACTACACTACTAAGAAATCAATCTATAGATAAATAAGTATAGTCACCACCACTATTAAGTTATGCACTCTCTTTCTCTCTTTCACATACACACACACACACAATACACACGCATGCATACATTCGTTCCACGTGTTTGGTTTGATTTGCAATCATGGACACGAGACGATGACACGCCCGAAACGCGTTCTCACTTTATGCAACAGGGTGGGGGGTGAAGGCGGCAGGAGAAATACGGGGGAGGAAGGGGAAGAAGAGGGGGAGAGAACCGGTCGATTCGATACGCTTGAACGAAAAGCAATGTCTTCGTTGGCGGCTTCGTAATCGATCTTTTGGTAAGGCAACGATAAACTGCGACAAGGACTACTATGATGATGATGATGATGATGATTCATCGCATTGAAATGGGACTCCAACGATTATACTTTTCTTTTTTTTTTTTTTTTTTTTTTATAAATGAAAAAGAAAGAAAAAGAGAAAGGAGAGCAAAGAAAACCAAAAGAAAAATTGAAACTTTTCGAGGGACGATTTTATTTGTGACCAGAAAAAAAATGGTTTAATGTTTTTATTTTTTTATTTTTTTCTCCTACTGTACATCGGAAATAGCCATTACTAAGTACAGTCAAACAAAATAATGTTTTTACTTTTCTGATTGAATTATCAAAATATTTTTGTTTCATTTATTATTGATGTTAATTATTGTATAATTATAAATAAACTAAATGTTCAAGAAGATCGAGAAAAATTGTTGGTTAAAGTAAGATGTTTTACGTATGCGTAGGAAAGATACACCATTTTTAAAAATGGCCGCTCACCCCCCCCCTGTTCGTAGGAAAGCTTCCAGGAACGTACAATGCGAGCGCGTACTATTGCAATTTCCTCTTTCCGTTTGATAATAATCGTAATTCATTTTTTTCCCCCACCAATTAATTTCATAATTTATATTTGGTTTTGATAAATAACCGAGATAAGAAATAGACATTTTAGGGGTTTTATAATAAATGAAAGGAAAAAATGAAAAAGAAAAAAAAAAAATACGAAAACGATTTGAATTAAGAGCCGCATATTTTTTTTTAACTTTTTTTTTTTTTAATTGAACTTGACCGCTCCGACGACAGGAATTAAATTGTTTTGAAAATTACAAATGAGGAAAGGTAAGAGAGGGGAAGGTGAAAGGAAACGTGCAATTACCTGGAATTCGAGAAATCGATCGTGCGAACAAACACATACGTGTAATACGTACACAAATACATGTAAAGGAAAAAAAAAGAGATGAAAAAAAAACACAGAGAGGAATTTAAAAAAAAAAAAAAAAAAACAATTCAAGCGAGCCCTCTCAACTTTGTCTGTGACGATGAATCACACATTTAATGTAAGAGTAAAGAAAAATATGCGCGCATTACACACACACACACACACACACACACACACACACACACACACAGAGAGAGAGAGAGAGAGAGAGAGAGAGGAAACAAACACTCACATACATATACACATATAGTGTACGAGTGATATCATTGAAAAAGATAGTGAGTGGTGTATAAGTGTGCCTTGTAAAAGAGTTTTCTCAATGAACCAAATAATTGTAACTCAAGGATGAAATGTAGAAGAAGAACAAGAAGAAGAAGAAAGAAGAAAAACGCCGGATGTTGTGTCACCTGTGACCTGATGTAAAAAAAAGAATGTAAGATGAGTTTAGTTTCATCGTCAGAGACGAACCTAAACGCAACACAGGACAAAGAACTTCCAATCAAATACATATGAATGAAGAGAATGAATGAATGTAGAGAATGAAAGAATGAAAGAATGAATGAATGAATAAATCTTTTTAACCCATTCCTCGAATAACCTTAAGTTTATTACACTTTTAACCTTGTTCAAATAAATATCTATATATATATATGTATACATATTTGAGTTGGCAACTAAATAATTGCAGATTTTGTCGATAGATGGGGCTTTTTAATTAGGTCTACCAGAAAATTCTATCCACTTTTACAATAAAATAAAATAATAAATTCATCATTTGAAATAATTAATTGAATTACTTTCGAATTGTTGCAAACATGGTTGCAATTTGTGGTTTTCTCCATTTTAAGAAATGGCGCCTTACTCCTAGCGACAAAA